TTTTTAGATTTACCTCAGTTTGTGTTTGTAGCACCAAATTAGAAAACGCCTTGTACCAGAAACAGAAGCTCTGTTTTTAAAGGGACAACTTGCAGAATAAAATTTGTACTTATCTCTAATGTGTTTTAAAAGTTTAACATTTTAAACCTTAAATATTTTTATAAACTCCTTTATTCCCTTCTTTTAGCTTCATTTTTCATATTGTTTGCATACATTTTACATTTGTGTTTTTGTAATTAAAATGCTTGGTGGGGTGGTTCAATTTGGCAACTCAAACACGGGTGCCAGTGGCGCTTACTCTGAGTATATTTATAACCACATTTTTTTTTTCTTTTTAGTTTTGGACTGAATGGTGAGAGGTTAGAACCTCTCTCGCTTACTGCCCTGCTGACAACATTTTGCCAGACATGAAATGAGGGAGAATCTACAAAAGGGGACCAGACAACAATAAAAAGCTGGCAGGGGTTCTAGCATTCCCGTGCTAAACATAAAAAAAAAGAAAATGACTTCCGTATCTGTTGCTGTTGGAGAGATTTCCCTGCACTTCCTGTCCTGGGGACAATCTTTTAACCAGACAGGAAGTAAAGCATTCTCTCCAGGCAAACAGGCAAAAATAAAACCTGCCAGGAGTTTCAATCCTTCCCCATTCTATCCAAGACTAAAAGGAAAAAGCTTTGGCTATAGATACACTTTAGACAGGTGCCTATAGGGGACAGAGCCAAAGAGTTGGCTTTGCCCTTTCAAATGTATGGCCACCAGGGCTGTCCTTATAACAAGGCGGTCGCCTCAGGCTGTATCTCATTAGGGGGGCGGCAAATGGGGCGGGTGGGAGTCAGAGGCTCTGTCACAGCGTTCCTGATTGCTAAGAGCCCTCATCAGCATGTGACACTCAGTATGCTCTATCTGGTTTCCCAATGGATGATGGGGGACCTGCCTGTGAGCGGCTCTCTATCCGGTCCTGCCCAGCCCACTGGCATCATTGGTTGGCAGGAGCTCAGCGGGACACCAGCCAGAGCATCCCACTCAGCTCCCTGGCAACCGGACAGAAAGCCGCTCACAGGCATGTACCAACGCATCCATCACCTGCTCTAAACTATCAGCAGCAACCAC